AAAAAAAAAAAAAAAAAGTGTTGATTACAGTTTTGTCCCTTTACCCTGTTCCTTCCCCTTCTGCTATAGATAACCAGTTTTCAATTCCTTTTTGGTTTACTTTTCCAGTGTTTCTTTTTATGAGCAGAAGCAAATGGAGATCATTTTTTATTTCCCTTTCATATAAGCCATATACTTTTAATTTTATTTTTTGGATATTTCAATCTGCACTTGTTGAATTTGTGGATACAGAACTCATGGATATGGAACTCATGGATGTGGAGGGCCAACAGTGAATTTATTGTATTGCAGCTGTTACAACTATCCAATTCCAGAATGTCTCATCATCCCAAAAAGAGGCCCTGTATCCAGGAGATTATTTAAAAAGTAAAAGACTCCCTATATCTATTAGTAGTCACTGCCTATTCTTCTCTTCCTCCAGCCTCTGGCAATCATTAATTTACTTTCTGTCCCTATGGGTTTGCCTATTCTGGATATTTTCATATGAATGAAATTGTACAATGTGTGGCATCTTGTGACTAACTTCCCTAATTTAGCATATATTTTCATAGTTCATTTATGTTGTAGCATATATAATTTCTTTTTATAGCTGAATAATATCCCATTGTATGGATATACCACATTTTGTTTATCTTAAGTTGATAGATTTGGGTTGTTTGCCACATTTTGACTATTACAAATAATGCTGCTATAAACATTTGTGTTCTTGTGAACTTATAGTTTTTATATGATATGTTTTCATTTCTCTCAGGTATATCCTGGGAGTGGAATTGCTGGGTCATATGGTAACTCTTTTTTTAACTTCTTGAGGAACTGCCAGTTTTTCGAAGTGGCCATACGTACATTCCCACCAGCAGTGTATGAGAGTTCAAGTTTTTCTACAGTCTTACCATCATTTTTTTCTGTCTTTGATTATAGCCATCCTGGAGAGTATAATTACTTATGTAAATACTTATTCTTTTTTAAGCAAAGGTAGCATACTATATATAGTTTCATGCTTTTTTAAGCCTAACAGTGTATCCTAGGTTCACCCCATATCAGTGAATAGAACTTTTTCTTCATTTCTTCCATGGCTTTGTAGTACTCTGTCATGTTTATATGTTGTAGCTTTACTCAGTCTTCTTCATGGTGAATATTTGGATTATTTCCAGTCTTTAGGCATTTTAAATAATGTTGTAATAAATAACCTTGTACATGGATTATTTTGCATTTTGCCACCATAAGTTTGGGACAGATTTCCAAGAAGTGGGATTCCTAGATCAAGGGGCACATGCTTCTATATAGTTTTTCTAGATAATTTGTCATATTCCTAGCCACAGAGGTTGTAGTTTTTTTACATTCCCATCAGCAATGAAGATTGCTATGCAGTATTTAGATCAATTGTGAATTTGTTCCTAACATTTATAGATTGGGAAATTTTACTTAAAAATTATTTTCCTTTTCTTTCCAATTCTGATTGCCCAAATTAAAAAAAAAAATTATTTTCCACTTTCTCTCTTTTTTTGTTTTTTGAGACAGGGTCTTACTGTCACCCTTGGTAGAGTGTCATAGCGCCACAGCTCCTCCCAGCAGCCTCAAACTCTTAGGCTTAAGTGATTCTCTTGCCTCAGCCTCCAGAGTAGCTGGTACTATAGGCACACCACAACACCCGGTGATTTTTTGATTGCAGTTGTCATTGTTATTTAACAGGCCTGGGCTGGGCTCGAACCCACCAACCTCGGTGTATGTGGCCAGCACCCTACT